AAATTATTGAGCACATTTTTGTCACGCGAGATTAAAAGCAAGCAATACATCAATAAAATCGAAGGAAAAATTTATTCGATTTACACTATCAGTAGAATGCGCTGGGCTACCATCGGTTCTTGCGCTGTCAAAGCATCTTTTTGGCCCAAGGACAAGCGTAAGAAATCCAGGAGGCTAAGCCCATGTTGAATAAATGCTGATTGAGCATGGAATGGCCAGGGTAGAACGCGACAAGAAGCCAAAATTTATTTCTCAGAAGATTGATTATCCTGCACTAGCACCGATTTAACCTCATAGGTAGAGATCGCTTTAATTGCCGCCTGACTAGCGCTGAATATGGCAATACTTTCATTGCGATAGTTGCGTTGGAGGTTTATCTCTACACACCCACTTATAGCATAGACTTCCCCTTGGAAGATTTTAGAAAACTTCTAATGGGAATGGAGAGTTTGGTGGGTGGTCCTGCGACTCTTGCACCAATCCCCTCCGACGTGGGGGTTCTAACAGATGATTGGTCTATCGGCGCCCATGCTGTAAGGTTAAGAATCTTACCGAATGCCAGCTGAAGAAACTGTATGGAAGAACACACGGTAGAAACATCTCGACACTTCCTTTTTCTTCCTTCTTGATTGTCTCGCGTTTGCGAAATCAAGCCTTAAACATTTGGGAGCGCACACTTTCACATATCCCATTGAGATAGATATAGAATTGAGGTTTGAACCGCGAAGTAAGGTCTATTATGCCCTCACAAATTTCCAGTGGCATAGCAAAAATAGAAATTAAACGCCTAAGCTAATTGGTTTTGGCCTCAAGGCTTTGAATATTAAATTCGAATTTTGCTACAGGAAAATGTGTGTGTTTTTTTTAACAATACAAACTTTTTAGCCTGACTGTTGAAATCTTTCATTTTCATCAAACAAAATATCACGTAGCATGATCTGTAAATTTACGCGATAGTATAGCGAACTGGAATCGAACTTGGGACATGCGTTGTGGTCATAATATAACATTATGGAGATTGCGGTTCACCAACAACATGAAATTATAATTATAGTACAAAGCGGGGGAATCGGAAATTGTTTATATTATTTTCCTCTTTTTAACTGAATTCGCCAATTTAAATTAAACTTTGCTTGAGTCTAAAAAATAGCCATTTTAAAATCACGAATACTTTAAGTTTTTTGCTTTTGTAAAGTTAATGCACAGTAGTTCAAATCCTAAATAGGGAATAGAATTCTTTAGGTTATTTCGAATTGTGGTTTGAAAATACAATATCTTAAACAAGCCTTATTATAATTAATTTAGGTTTTTATAAGTAAGTAGATTGCTTATAATGGAGTTTATTAGATATACAAGTATATAGCAAACAATATGTTCTAGTTTTCACGACCTAATTTCGGTCTAGCTTTACTGAATAATATTTACGTAACTGTTTAAATTTCCAACGGACAAAATTATCAAAATAATACAGTTAGTTATATAGTAAAGCAAGCTACCTCAAAATAACTGTGCATTTATCTACATGTAGGTACATTTGTAAGTACAGATAACAATGGGTCATAAAATGCTGTTGCGAGATATTGTATATGCTCAGCATAATGAAAATGACATATCAGCATTGTGTGGTAAATAAGATTTGTTTGTTTGGCATTTATGAAGCATTCACAATTAACTCTTAAGCTAGAGTGACATAATTTGACAGCTACTTGGTAGTACAAATTTCCGTAGAAATACCGTAAGTATGTATTTTGAAGCCTAAATTATAAAATCGGTAGAAATAAATTATCTGACTTCGAAGAACTTCAAGTTAAGAATACAACAACACACAGTATTAGACTATCACATTTTGTTAATTTAAGCTAATAACGCAAATATTTACAATAACACCAAACAAAAAACATTTTATGGCTACCAATAAAAGTACACACTTTAAAGCATTTGCGAAAGCTCCCTACACATCCGTGACACCCGAAATATGTATGTAGGTATGTATGTTGTTCTACGTGTTGGCACTGTTTGACTTGTTCGTAGTGTTAATTTTATTGCTACATGCCTCGCGCATGCGTTACTACCGCATTTGCAAATGACAGGCATCTGAAAAAGCAGATGTTTATATGGCTGCCGTATGGGCACTCGACCGTGCAACACATTTAACAAGCCAAACATATATATTGTATGTATGTATGGTAACAACTTTTATTTGCACAACCACACTCGCAAATAATCGAACAACCGTACAAGCAATCAACGAGCCAAACAGCAAACATAATGTAAACAAAGTATGTAGATACCGCACATAAGTTTGTATGTATGTAAGTCAACGTGGAAAAGATGTTGTGTTGGAAAAAAGCTTTGGGTTATTGTAGCTTATGAGTTATTTGTAATTATACTTGATATCAGATACCATAAGCAAATATTTGCTTTTGACAGATACTACTCGTGTAGTTTATGCTTCGGGAAGAATAAAAAAAAAACACGACGCGCAACACCACAACAACATACATACAACTTGCATGTTTACCTAAATCGCCCAATAAAACGGGGGAAAATGTGAATGCGGCTACGTGTTGGAAGTCAAGCGACACCACTCATGAAACATGAAGTGAAGCACGGCGAAATGCGTGAACACCAAGTGTTTTTATTTTCAATGTGCATGCCTATGTATTTGAGTTTTATGTGCATAATATACATACATACACAAACAGTCTTTGTGTGCTCGTACGCGCAAAACGTAAGACCAATGAAATAAAGATGAATTCGTCGAATGGATAAACGCACCTTGAATATGTTTTACACACCCATCGGTGCTCCTAGTTGTCTCCGAATGTTTACTTTGAGGCACGTATGTGTGTGTATGTGCGTCCATAAAACGGGTTTGTTTGTAAAACGAAAATAAAGCAGCTGCTGGCATTTTGCCAAAGTGCTCGAAAATATTTTGAAAAAAGAAGAAGTTTTTGCAAGATAAAAACTAAAAAAAAAAATTAAAAAAAAAAAAAATTTAAATTCAAATTTAAAACTAAAGAAAAATTAAACTATGGGGACAATTTTTGAAAAAATTTAAAATAAATAGCTAAATAAGAATATTTAATAAAAAAAATTAAATCAAAGAATTAAAAAAAATGAATAAGAATATTCAAAGAAAAAAACTATTTAAAATTTAAATTCAAATTTGAAATTTAGATAAAATAAATAAGTTGAGAAAAAAAATTAAATGAATTTGCATATGTTCTCTTTTCTTCAAACAGGTAATTAAATGTATCATTAACGATAGATTACCAGTGACTTTGGCCAATACAAGTATTAACCGCTACTTAAGCCGTCGCAATAATGATAATTACTTACACTAAATGATATAGGTATGTAGATATTTGCAAATTACACAAAAACCTACACAGAAGTATGTATTCAGCATCGATTTTTCCTAAAATGAGTTAATTGGGAATTCCTCTGCAGTTAAGCTTACTACGAGTATATGCAGTAGAAACAATGGTAACGTAAAAGTATAACGGGTAATTATAACCTAATGTGTATATACACTAACAAGTGCAGTATCTCAGCGTCATCAAATATTAATTGATTATACAATAACCACATACATATGAACGCCGTGCTGATGGGTAATGTGCGCAAATACATCTTCTACATGGCTCACAAATCGGGTTAGGGCCTTATGAGCGGTATGCAGTGGAGGGTTCAGACAAGGGTATGCAGCAAATTTGTGCTATTTTAAGGCTTGCCAATGGAATAATTGACCATAATAATTAATTAATAGCGGAATGTTGGTCACTGTGGCAGTCGAAAAAGCAGGTGACATACTGCTGGTGGTAGAGTATTGTGGCAGTTTTGGTGACAGACTGTATTTTGAAAGTGCAACGATTTTATATTTTGATCCAAAAATAATGACAGCAGAATAGTCTTCTAATATGAGCAACAGAAGGTTGTCAGTCAATTAAATATATCTTTAGGAAACCAAATGTCAAAAATCTAGTTAAAACAGGCAAACTTGGGTTGCACCCAAGGTAGAATACCCTTGACAAATAAAAAGGTTTCCTTACAAGAACTTGTTTTTGATCGTAAACTGACACGGCTAAATCGATTCAGATCGTAAGGCTGATCATTTAAATATATATTCAATAGCGTCACCGACGTTTCCTTGTGGGAGTAACAAACTTCGTGACAAACTTTATTTACCCTGTTCAGAATATAAATATGACGTTTTTATGTCAGTGGTATTCCTTGAATTAAAGTGATGAACCTCAGTATTCATTTGAATAATCTCTGTACATTTGAATAATTATGTACATATATGAGGACTTCTTGAAACTAAAGGTTAATGCATTTAAAATTTAACTATGTAAAGCCCAATGAAATATCTGGGTTATACTACAGGCTACAACAGAGAGAACTCTGGAGGTCAAATCTGACGAATCTTGTGAGTGGGGGACTAGTACACAGCGTAATTCCTTCAATAGGTCGGTCATATCTCAAGCTGTATGTTCATAGAATGCTGCACCCATCGCGTATAAGGGTTTTTGATATGAACTAGGCTCCTATGATGTAAACCATCTCACTAAATTTCATTATGTATGAAATTCATTAAACCAATATTCGGCTATTGGATATTTTGTAGCAAATTTTGTCATTGCTATTGCTTTGAAACAACGGTATTTTTTTCCTTCAGGAAACGATGTCTTACCAAAACACGAAAGGTCATTAACTTAAGAACGTTTGGAGCAAACGTCTTGAAACTTTGACATTATTCTGTTGAAGGTTAGTTTTCTAAGAAAAGAATATCGATTTTTTGTATGTGACGCGATCTCTCGGATAGGAGAAAGCCTTTCAGCCGATTTAGTAAGCACTTGAGGAATGCAAAATTGGTTGAGCAACCACAAAAATTGCGTTTACTATAGATGAAAGATTAAACGGGGAATTAGTAAGAAACCCTAATTAATTAAATTCTATATTTCTATTAAATTAGTTTCGACTGAATGTGTACTCACCTTATATAGATGATTTCATCATTATTAGCTTGTCTACGCCAACCCGGTGCCAAATTAGCATTGTTAGCGCTGGCAACACTCGGCTGTCCTACGGTGGAGTTTGTGGTTGTCGCCGTAGTGGTAGCAGATGCAGCACCAACACTCACATTATGGGTGGTAGGGGTATTGGTTGTGGTAATATTTTGGCGTGAGGCAATTGTAGGGGGCGCTGCCACAACATTATTATTCACTTTTAGTGAGTGCTGTTGTGTTTGGTGTTGTTGCAATCGTGTTGGCGGTTGCTGTTGCTGCTGCATTGCTACTTTATTTTGTTGTGTTTGCTGATATATATTCATTGGTTGGCTGTGTGTTGCACTATTACTTGAAGCAAATATAGTGCCACAGCCATTTACAAAACCACTCGACAGCGTGTGTTGCTGATTTTGTTGTAGCTGCTGCCGCTGCAGCTGTAAATGTTGTTGGTGCTGCTGTTGTTGCTCTTGTTGCTGCTGCAATTGTTGTTGTTGTTGTTCCTGCACGTGTTGCTGCGTGGACAGTGGCGAATTGGAAACGACACGTGTGGTGAATTTCGCAGCACGCAATTGCTGTTGCTGCTGCTGATGTGCATGCTGCTGTAATTGCAGTTGTTGTTGTTGATGCTGCAGCATTCGCTGTTGTCCATTATTTAAGTGTTGCAATTGCAATTGTATATGCTGTTGCTGTTGCATTTGTTGTTGCTGTGGCAGCTGCAGCACCGCTTGTTCTTGCAATTGCAAAGAGTGCTGTTGCTGCTGCTGCTGTTGTTGTTGCTTCATTGATTGCTGAATTGGTTGGCGCAATCCAATTCCATTTATATCTTGCTGTTGTTGTTGTTGCTGATGATGTGAATGATTCAGCTGTTGCTGTTGTTGTTGCTGCTGCTGGTGCAATTGTTGGCCAGCACTAGCGGCAGCCATTCTAAATGCACAAATTACACTTCAATGAGAACTACACACAATGTTGTCTGAAATGAACGAAAGAGTGGGAAATAAAAATTAATCAATTTGTGGTTAAACATTGTTAACACATCAATCAACAAACAAAAAACATTTATTTATGCAATTCTATTCTGTTATTTAGCCTATTTAACACATATCTCTCTAACTTATAAACTCAAGAATTCATTAATTTTTGTGACTTTTCAATGAACTGTCAAATTCTGAGGAGAACGCGTCCAAAATAGTTTGCTTTTCAACATCAGCTACCTGACACACACATACACACATCCCTCCATTTCACACACGCATGGTTCGTTGAGCGAGCATATGGGTTCTACTACATACATACATGTGTGTATGTATATGTTTATATTTAATTTATTTAGGTACCTACTTGCAAGGGTACAAAATACACCAATTGTGTATTTTCCTTGGATGTTTGTTGTTCCGTCCTTGTTGTTCCCTATTTGGTCTTCTAATCCGGAGCAGGTAATTTTTTGTTTGAGCCTCTACTTTCAAGTGTTGCGCAGTGATGACTAAATTTCGGATTATCTCCAATCAGTGCGGGTTATTCCAAATATTTATTCCGATACATTGATTTTGTGAAATTTCGATGAGTCAGTAAAAAATGTTGCCTTCAACACCAGGATGACACTCATACATGTATCTAGGTAGTATATGCCACTGGCGTTAACGCCTTAATTTTATATTTATTGTAATTCTTATTGAAAAAAAGTTTACATGTGCGTTCAAGTGTGTGCGCCTTGGGAAGAACACACAAGTGGTTGTTTCTTCTAGCGTGTAGAATTACAAACATTTCCTTTTATCAACCGGATCAACCGGTGACAGACATAGAGATTAGGTCATCTCTCTTCACTTAATTACCATACACACCATATAGGCACTACAGGGCAATGATACATATGTAATATATACAACAAGATATAAGTTCGAAACTTTGAAACAGAAACGTCCCTTACATTTGCTTTATTGAAAGGAGGTCTCTAGAAAAAATTACATACCGAATTTTAAGATAAAGGAGGAAAATTACATTAAAAAAATGATGGTGTTGTGATACTTTCATTTTAAAACTGATAACCATGTGTTTAAATAATCAAATAAAAATAAGACTAAAATTCTAAATTTTCAAATTTGTCTAATAACTTTTAAAATTTTAGTTTTAAATTTAATATTTCGTTTTCAGTTTTTAAATATCAAACCATTTTCAACCAGCTGTCCAAGCCAGGGTTGCAAATAAATAATGCATCAATGACACTTGAGTTTACTTTTAGATTTTTATACCCTGAACAGGGGATATTAATTTTGCCACGAAGTTTGTAACACCCTGAAGGAAACGTCGGAGACCCTATAAAATATATATATAAATGATCAGCATGATGAGCTAGTTAAGGCAACAATGTAATCTCCGAAGAAATTATTCAGATCGGATGACTATAGCATATAGCTGCCATATTAACTGAACGATCGGAGTAAAGTGCTTGCATGGAAAATTTTTTTATTTGACGAGGTATCTTCACGAAATTAGACACGAGTTATTGCTTAAGGCAACAAATTATTCTCCACAGAAATTGGTCAGAATAGATCACTATATCATATAGCTGCCATACAAATTGAACGTTCGGAATCAAGTTCTTGTAAGGGGCCTTTGTATTTATGAAGGGTATTATAGCTTCGGCGCAAACGAAGTTAACGTTTTTTCTTGTTTTATATTAATTAGTTCAACAATAACTTAAATTCAATATTTAACTTTTTTTCCATCCGTTTTATTCACACAATAACAATAGGGATGCATTCTAACAAATAATGTTACCTTATCTACATATTTTACAAAAAAACCAAAAAGAGTAAAGAAAACAGATAGTACTGTAATGATAGAAAATGTATTGGCGGCCTTCGGCCTCGCATCAAAAAAACAACCCTCCAGCACCAGGATTTACAAAAAAAAAAAGAAATTCCTAAAGAGTTTGCGTTACTCATCACACGACTATGAATTTTGTATTGACGGCCAAATCCTTCCTTTTTATTTATTTTTAATCGTTTGCAAAATATGATAACATTTATTTTTTGTTTGCATGCAATCATTTTGATATTGTATGAATAAATGGATTGGAACCAAAGTTAAATATTGAAATAAAGTTAGATTTGCACTATTTAATACAAAACAAATGTGTAAAAACGAATTAGTGAAGTGTTAGTGGATATAAAAGAAAAAATATAAATTTAAAATTTCTTATAAATCAAAGAAACACGAACTTTAAATAGTTAAATTTTTGAACTTTAAATGCAAATATCTCAAAAACCTTAAGTCAGTGGCAACTAAATGTATATATTTTTTTAATCTGGACTCTATCTATACCCATTTTAACTCCAAATTCGGGGGGTGCTATTCTAATTCATTTTCTTATTCACATAATGCGACCTCAGGATATTTGCTCTATTCTGTCTCAAATAATTAAAAGATTAGAAACACACTCGTAATTAAATCACTTTAACTTTTTATTACTACACATAACACTTTTATCATATTACAATTAGCAGCGCCACTCACCTGTTTATGCAATAATTGTAGACTTTTGATTCAGTCAAACGCTTCATATTCCGACAACAATGGCATTGCAAATGAACTGCTGCTGCGTGTTGATGCAGCTACAACGCAAGCAATGGGCAGGGAGATTTACACGATTTTACAAAATGAATGCACTAACACGCAACAATACGCGCATATACATCTTAGTCAACGGCGATCAATAAAAAATTTGGGATTGTAGAGCATTAAAAGACGACAATATTTCTCGCAGTTTTTTTTTAATTTTTAATTTGAATATTTCAATGAATTTGCACCGCTTATAATTAATTTCAAGCAACTCAGTGCCCGTGTTAATTGCTCAGACAATTTATTTATTTATTATTAACAATGAAAAACGATGTTGACTTGCAAAACGATTTATTTAGCTTCACTTTATTTGATTTAATTAAATATTTTTTTCTGTTGGTTTACTTTGCTACCGAAGAAGAAGACGATATACCGATAGTAGTGAGACTTAACGATACGTAACGCGAGAGCCGAACACATGAATGTGACGATTGGCAAAGCGGAGAGCCACGAAACACGCGACAACAAAGTTGCTGTTAGCTAGTGGGTTGATAGCAGCAATTCAATGTTGGGTACTGTGGGAGGTACAACTACGACTACTACTATTATGGACAAAAGCAGCAACACACGCAAAAGTAGGTGAGTGGAGCACACACACCTTAAAAATTTTGCGGCTGTGGTGGCTGCTACTGCTATTGCTCACACACTAGCGGAAAACGGCTACTGCTATGCTATTTGAATTTTCACACTTTTACGCTTTTGACTTTAGAGCTGCATTCACTCATAAGCGCACCAATGCACCTCAATTTCAATTGTTTTGTTGTCTATTGCTGTATCTTGGAATGAATATTTTTCGCGTTTTCATTTACACTATTTTTCTGCTATAATTGTATACACAAATCACCGTTATACCAATAGCACAAACGCTTAGTAATTTATTTAATTTCATTTATTCATGGCTTTCAAAACAAATTTTGCTTGTACCCATTGAGGTTTTAGAATAAGGACCGTGTTTATTGCTGTTTTAGCTGCTACATCGTGATTTCACTACACGCGGTAATGCCGATAAGAAATTTTAACTTTCAATATTTGACACTTTGTAGGCATTAAAATTTCACTTTCATAATTTCTATGTATTTTTAACGAGAAATCATTATTATTTATGTATGCCGGTTATCATATAACTGTACGAAACGAATAATTAATATTTTGGTACACTATCTGTCCACTGCAGCACAGGTGATAGTTTTGCGTACTTAATTATGCTTGCATAAGGACGATCCAACAGTAAGCGGTGTGCGCCCTACGGGCTTTTGGAAGTGTTTTGCCCCAAAGTCCAGCGCAGCAGCTGTTTATGTTTTTTATTTTTTTCCGTTTGCTGGTCAACAAGCGATACATACACTGTTGCTATTGTAGAGGTACATACACACAAACACACGATAATACTTTCCCCTTTAGCGCCCGCTTTGATTTCAACACCACTTTGCTACGTATGACCTCAATATGTGCTTTTCATTTTCTGATAGCATGTTGTATTTTCTTACGTATGTAAATTTTTTCATCGACATAATTACAAAAACTTCTGTTATCAACTATTATATGTATTAGACATTGGTATTTTAACGCTGCACTAATTTATAATTAATTTTTACACTTTTGACATGTTCAATTAACTCAAATATAATTTCATTCACTTTCGCAAATGAATCTAAATTTCTTCTCTTCGTAATCTCACACCTTATATTTGTTGCTACAATATGCTTCTTCTTATTAATATTTTTCTTCTCTTTCCACTATTTCACTTCCCATTCGCATTCATATAAATTCACTCATTCACCAATTTGATTACAATAGATATCTAATAGCGATTTGCCATGCAAATTTTCGGTGCAAATTATTTTTGAAAACATTTTATTTTTACTTGCACTTTCTGTACAATTGGAATTTTATTTTAATTTTTTACAGCATTTATCGGCACAAATTTCAAAGACTTTCGAAAAAATTTACGCGTAACCGTCATGCGAACAAGTACTCAGCACTAAATTCAATACAAAAGTGAGAACCAAATATTTTCTGACTTTCGTGCTTTCGTGCCTGGCTCGCTCGTCCATTCTTCGTGCTTTATCATCGTTTTTTCGCTGCTCGGTATCGGATTTTGTTATTGCGACATCTGTTGTGGAAGAAAAACAAGAAATTATGAAACTTATGATAAATTGTGAGCAAAACAAAAGACACAAATTATGTATAAAAAACATGTAAAATATTTAAAGAAATTTATTGAACAATAACTGTCGATTATCAGCAGCAAGAGCAAGTGGTAATCACTTTCTGTTCGCCAAATAGATATTTAGTTTATTTTGTAGTATCTTTTAAATGTTCCCCAATTATTCCACAATATTTTACGAGAGAGATTTTCATTTAGTTTTTCCTATTTAAGTAAAATAAATTAATATTACAAACGCAATATTAATGTACAAATAATTGGTTTGGCACTACTTTAATGTTAATTAATTTTATGGTTTGTCAGCACTTGCCGCTGCTGTCAAAACCATCTGTTCGTATTTTGTAAATTGGCGCTTATAACGTATAATTGGTTGTTCGTAAAGGTTCATACGTGAGAAATAAAACTTATGTTCATATTTTTTAATAGTAGTTATTTTTGCTCGTTTCTTTACAACGTTAATGGTTTATCTATGGTTAATGGTTAACAGTTAAATCGTATTCATAAAGTAAATTTGGACCGGCTACTCAAACTAACCTCAACGTGCTGCCGATTCGACACCACTCATTTGCAAAATATTTAATGAATGAACCTGGTTTGAATAACAAGATGTCATTAATAGTGGAATGCAAAAAGCTGTGCTTGCGCCGCTGTATGTTGGCGTTGTTTTACAGCATAGCCATGCAATATCTGCTACTTGGCTTCTTCCTTTTCTTCATCAACTTTCATGTTCTGCATCCTTTGAATTGGATAAGCGGCACAATACGTGTGCTATTTTCGTTCTATACTTGGTTTAGCATTTTACCCCTGATTGGTTCCGTCGTCTTATATAGCATATTGTTGGGAAAATCATTTCTCGCTGTGAAACATTACTATCCAACACGCTTCCAATGGCTCATCTACACAGCGCCACGAAAAGTACTGTTCTTTATTTTACATTTACTTGTTGGTTACTTAACCGCATGGCTTTATACTAGTTTTTTGCACGTAGATTACCGGTAAGTACTCGAAAATACTTATTATTTAAATGACTATTAATTTTATTCCTTTACAGTAATATTATATGCGAATGCTTTGGCACAAAATGCATCAATAGCCGTTATTTATTCTTAATTTGTGTTGGGTTTTTCGCTTCTTGTTTGCATTTCACTAGAGAGAATTTACGTACTGATCCCGAATTGGAATTCCCCATAATTCAGGAGTTAATGTTAATTCGAATTCGTTCTCTTGTTTATCGAACCTTATACAATTCATTTTTGAAATCCTTCTCGCCTACAATATGTTTTGCACTAGCTTACTGGCTAATTGCCGGCATAATAAATCGTTATTTTGCTGGCGTTTTCGCGTTGGATGTTGATGAAACTACGTTATCATTTATTTCTATCGCTGTAAATATCCGTCTTTTGTTCTATGCTTGGATCCTGACGGCGCAAATTTTAAGTAATATGCATCTGATGCATCGTTTCTTCGTCATACATCTTTCGGAGGAAGTTGCTTTTATTATTGAACGCAAGCCAGTGTTGTGTGGCACTGGCCTAGAAGAAATAACCTTAGTGGATGCGCTAAACTCGTCATTAGTGCCAGTGGTGCAGAATTTGGGCGCACGCGATCTGTATAATTTGTCAAGCAACAAAATGGATAACAGGCGCAAAGAAATCTTTGCACTCTCAGTACCAGGTAATCTTTAATACTATTTGTTTATTATTATTATTTTTTGTTTATTTTTTTAATATATATTTTCTATTGACATTTAGGTGCCCATCCATACAATTGGAATCAGCTTTCTTCACAGTGCTTATGTCTTATTAACGCCTTTACTGAGGAATTAGCTGCATCTCTGAAAAAGATTTCAGTTGTTAAAACAGCGCCACTATTTTCCACAATCAAACCCACCACCGCCACCGAAGCTGCTGAAAAAATTTTGCTACGCCAATATAACGAGACCTATGGCATTAGACGCATGATGACCGAAACTAGTCAAGAAAATGCTGAGACGGTAAAGAAGATGTCACCGGCTTGCAAGCGTATACATGATCAAGTTGAAAAAATAAAGAAACAATTTGAGGAGACTTTGCGTGCCGCCTTTCGTACGATTCCCGGTCTGTATTACATGTTTGGTGAACCAGAAGGCGCTAAAACTGCTTACTTACTCTCTAATTCGGAAACGATTTTGTGGATAGTGCAAGGTTTGGCCAGTGTATGTACAGCTTCACTGATGGAAGACAAATATGGTGTGGTACAAATTACTCTACCACAAGTAATCAAGTCATTGTTGACACTCAAAACTGAATTGGATAAACTGAATAATGTTAATTTGAATGGCAGAAAAATGGATCGCAATTTCATCACGCTGAAAAACGGCGTAAAACGTAGCTTATACAATATATGCACAGTTTTCAGCGACTATTTGCGTGAAATCGTGGATAGCTCGGAAGATTTGCGGAAGCTACAGTGCTATGTGCACTACGTGGAAACGTAAGCAGGAATACGTGACTTATGCTAAATTATTCAATGAGCTGACTGTTTGTAAATTAAGTTTATTTAAACACTTAGAATGTAATGTTTTATATAAATGTACGTTTTTCTAAATAATTAAATTTTAAGTCAACAAAATTCTGTGCGAAATAAAGTTAAGTTTTCCTATGCATTGAGAATTAAAATTATACTAAAACTATTAACTAATAAATATGATAGATTTTATTAAATTAAAGTCTTGTAATCTATACGTTTTGATTATAAATATCAGCGCGCAAAAAAAATATGTATTTTAGATTGCCACCTGCAGTTCTTTATCACTTGTTGATACCGTTACTTGTGTGTCAATCGACCTGGTTGTAATAATTGGTCGCAATAATTTACTTTCGAATTGCTCCGGCTTTGGCACCTTAATATCTTTGCCTGCGTTTATTTAACTAAAGTAGTTGGGGAGAAAGCTGAAGCATTTAATTTGAACTACCCACCTAAAGACTTGAGCGCCTTTCTGATTTCTTGTATGTACTGCTCCTGTTGTTCTATGGTTTCTTCCATGTGTAAAATATTGTTTGTTAAATTAATTGCTGCTTGTATTTTTTCATCTCTTTTACGACGTTCTGAACGCATTTGTCTATATTTACATCGTGAATAGAGTGGATCAATATTTATTAAAGAAGATTATATGTTTGTACAACCAACCGCGAAACTTCCGATACAACTGCGGCTCCACAGATTACGAATAAAACAAATTCGCCCAGCATACTGGCACCCAAATCAATGGCTGCCGCTTCTGACAGAGGCTTTATATTTTTCGGTTTGCCCATCTTCATGGTCCACATCATGGTCCTGGTCTCCATTCTGTTGTACCCTTTAAAGGTTTACACGCATCTTGAGTTGTACTATTAAAATCTTTCGGCGGTTTACTTACATTGTGCCGGTGGTACACAAATATATTCACGAAACATTTTATTATCCTTCGCTTTTTGCTTAATAAAATTCGCTACATATTTACTTAGCTGACGCACGGCCAACATACCCAGTTTGAACACGGGTAAGGCGGGCATTTTAACAAAAAAAATTTAATTTTTTCTATCACTGACAGTCTTAACTATTTGTTGCATATGTTTAGTTTTACGACTATCTTAAGAGTTGGAAAGTGAAAAATTATATTTGTTAGTTGCTGTTGTTGTTGTAACGGTTATCTAGTCCCCGTTTGGGTGATAAGTTCCAGATTCGTTGTCGTCGAGGTCATCTAACGGGAGGCCCAGGACACGAGCTGTTTCGACGGGGTCGGACCATAGGGAGAAGGGTGTTAGATGGGTGGGGTTTGTTGGGCATGCAAAGAGGTGGTTAGTGTCATGCGGAGACTCATTGCACGCAGGACATGTGTTTAGTATGTCGGGGTCTATTCTGGATAAGTAGGAGTTTAATCTGCTACAGTATCCGGGTGGGTGGTGGTTTGACTCCTATTACGCCATTCACTGAGAGGGAGTCTGTGAAGGTGTTGATGGTTCCACTGTGAATGGTGGTCAGTGCCTGTCTAATGTCGTCGACGTAGTCAAGGAAAGACCTCTTGATGTTCCTAGGAGGCGGCTCCGCTACAGTCAGGCGACTACAGGGGTAGTTTCTACGAAAACACCCCAGTAGAAACTGCTTGGAGAGGAGTTCGTTGTGTTCCTTAACCGGAAGCATACGGGCCTCACTATGTAGGTGTTCGATTGGAGACATCAAGAGGCATCCCGTGATAATTTGGAGTGCAGTGTTCTGACAGGTCTGAAGATTCAGCTTCGCGTGTCACTGCATCCAGGCGACCATATTGGGGCTGCGTAATTTAGGACCGGCTGGCCGATTGCCTTGTATGTTGCCAACAACGTTTCTTTGTCTTTTCCCCAAGAGCTGCCGGCAAGCGACTTGAGGATTTTGTTGCGGCTCTGTACTTTGGCAGTTATCGCGGTCGTGTGAGGAGTGAAAGACCACAGACTGGCCAAAATGACGCCTAAAATTTTAGGATTATTTACTGTCGGAATTTTTGTGCCATCGACTGAAATATTCAGGTCCAGTCTGTACTCCTTCGTCCAATTTTTGAAGATGGTCGCTGTGGATTTAGTGGGAGAGAGTGTTAGGCTCCTTGCAGAGAAGAAGCGAGAAAGATCGGAGAGGTAGCTGTTTACTTTTAAAAACATGCCATCGATACCATTTCCCGACGTCAATATCGTACAGTCATCAGCGTACGAGGTCACTGAAATTCCCGCTGGTGGCTGCGGAAGTTTCGAAATATTATATAAAAATTAAACAGTAGTGGAGAGAGGACACCGCCCTGCGGAACCCCCTGTTTAATTTTCCTAAGTTTGGAGTTTTGACCTCGAAACAGTACGGATGAATGCCGACCGCTCAGGTAGTTCATAGTCCACCGCTTCAGCCCTGGAGGGAGCGTTGATTGTTCTAGGTGCTCAAGTAGCGTTGTGTGATTGACTGTGTCAAAAGCTTTTGACAAGTCCAACGCTACGAGGATCGTCCTCTCGCAGGGTGGCTTCTGGTTCAGGCCATGAACTATCTGGGCGTTTATGACGCTAAGTGCTGTGGTGGTACTGTGCACTTTACGGAAGCCATGTTGATGATCTGCTAGGCTCAGGTGGTGAGTGAATGACGGGAGTAACAAGGCGATAAGACTCCCCTTTGTTGGCGGGTTTCCCAGGTTTCAGTAGTGGGACCACTCTTCCGACTTTCCACACATCGGGTATTGAAGAATGGATATCGACAGGTTGAGGACCTTGGTGAGATAATTTACTCCCGGTTGGCCTAGGTGTTTTAGCATTAGCATGCTTATTCCGTCAGGGCCAATGGATTTAGACGATTTCGACTTTTTGATGACACTCTGAACCTCCCCATCGGTGAAAGTAAGTGGTGCGCAGTCTTTTGGCATTTTGCGCAGCCGTCGGGTAACACGTCGTTTGGCCCTGTCAGTCGAAGGGTGCAGTGTAAATTGTCGGCTGAAATAGCTCGCGCACTTCTTCGGGTCCGAGGAGGCATGACCATCGAATTGAATTTCAACCCGATCGTCATGTCTTCTCGGATTTGACAGGGCCTTGACAGTAGTCCAAAGCTTACTCACACCGGTGGAGAGGTTGCAGGACTTCAGGTGCTCTATCCATTTTGTCCGCTTATGATGATTTACCATTTGCCGAATCTCCAAATTGAGATCCCTTATTCGGGGATCACAGGGATCGGCATGGCGTAAGGTGTCGCGCTCGTTTGCTAATACAGCTGCTTCGGATGGGCAATTAGGGCGGAGTTCCGCGATTCTTCCAGCCGGTATGAAGCGAGCAGACTGGGAGTCATGCTGTCTATGTGAGCTCCTTAGGGCCGTGGAGGTCCTATCTTGGCCACTCGACTGGAGTGGCAGCGCAGTGCGCGAACATGGTGCAGGTTGCACAGCCGTTGAGGCAGATGTCGCATTATTGCGTTGACAGCATGGGGCCACGTAACTTGTGGTCCACTTCCTATGTGTCTTAGGGCCTGAACAGGTCTTAAGATGGCTCCATCCATTGCATGTATTGCACCTAACCGAGGTGGAGTTTGGATGGAGCCTTTTAGCGCAAACACAGCAGTAAAATTCCTCGGGGCCCGAGTTGGACTCGATGCCAGCACGGGTCAGGAGGATACGGAGCAACCCTGCTGCTAGGCGTTGCTCCAATGACGACAAACTTAATCTAAAACTCACCGATCCAAACAGGGTTAGATCGCCGAAATAACAGCCCTTGGCCGGATAAAATCCGGGTCAATTCCGGTATCGCAGAACCGGCTGTTGTGGGAATTGTATATATTTGTTAGTATTTTTATGCGCTTTAATTTTCAATCAAAGAATATTTTACCATAAATATTTTTATTACCACTTTTTATTCAAATTTCAAGCATTAAAACACTTTTGGGTCCTACAAAATAAGCAATATTTACAACCAGAATGTATGAAACCTACATATAAATATGGATCTGCAGTACTGAACTAAGTTTGCTCGAATACAAAGAATCACATTTTAAGCGCAAATGCAAATTAAATCCTCAGGCAGGATAGAAAATAAAACTTGTACGTTTACATCATTTGATCAACGAGTAATTGTAATAGACTTGTTAAATAAGATTACAAATACGTAAAAAACTTATAATTACACTGTAGAACGGATGTTTTATTTTTGTTTTGTAGCCGTTTTGATCGCATATTCCAACTTGGCTAGCTCATTATTCAACTGGAGTAATTCACGCTCTTTGTTTTGTTGTAACATTTTTTTGCACCGCTTCACTTTCCACATGTACATACGGTTCGATGTCCAAGTTATTGCTTACAGGTAAAAGTAGAGTGGTTTCTTTGCTCTTACGTCCATCAACAAAAACATGCGTCTCTAAAAAATTTAATGCTCTGTACAGCAGGCCACCATTCGGATCATAATCACCAACGAAGTCTTTAACAACGGTATTGGTTTGATCGGGTGTATTTGGATTGAAAGGCTGGTATTCAGCTATTGTTTCACGAGTCCATTTGAATATATTACGTGATTCTGTATAGAAATAATTAAATATGAGCGGTATACATAAATATTCATTATTATCGCAGGACCTCGCCAGTCTACGCTGGCTTCATAACTTTTTTGGCGCTTTTGTGCCCGATGAGGAAACAGCAGGCGAAGCTGTATTTACTGAAGATGCTTTATTGTCTGATGTGTCGGCCAAAATTGGCGTACTTATAGGTTTTCCTGAGAGAAAATAGGCAAAACATAGAATTGAATTGGTTTGAAATAAGAAATCTCGTATTCGACTCGGTCAACGAAACATGTACTAAAATGTAAAACACCAATCGATAGCGTATGGCTTAACAAGCAATAATAAAGAAATAAAATTCTAATGAATGGTGAACAAGAATTGTGCGATGATTCTAAACAAAACTTTATCACACAACATAGCATCATCAGCGAACACAGGTTGGGTTTAACAAATTTACCTAAATCTGCCAACGCCCGCGTCATTTCCCTAATTTGTGCATCTTGGCGTTCTAAACGGAAGCCCATTTCAGCCAGTGTTATTGCTAATTCGGCTTTTTCATGCCGAATTGTTTCTTGCTTTTTCGATTCATTGTTAGATTGACTGTAAATAAAAACATATTGTTTTGTATATTATTTAATTATTATGCAATATTAAACAAACCGCGTATATTCGAATATAAGTACTGCTGCACCAATCACAAAAATAATGGCTTCGCCAAGCAAATTGGCGCCCAACTCAATGGCCATAGCCTCGTTTAGCGGCGGTACAGCTACGGGTTTGCCCAAATTCAGCGCCCACATTTTCGTTTTGACTTCAACCCAATTGTATACTATAATGAAGAATTAGTAAATGGTTGTTAGTATTTTAAATAAATAGTCAGAGCGCTCTACAATTAACGAGTTTGAAAAGTGCTCCCTACTTTTAAATGGATGTGTTATTGTGCTTTCTACAAGGGTAACTAATCACTTTCAAGATGAGCATTTAGCAATATCTGATAAAGAATTTTAAATTATACATTTATTGTACATTAATTTTTACAATTTTTAATGTCACTGAATCATAATGAGTAGATATATACACACTCTCGTGCTTTACACATATGGATCAACGTAATAACTCAAAAATCTTGCTATACTTACACTGAGCCGGTGGCATACAAACATATTTGCGAAATATAGGACTCTGCTTGGCATTACTTTTAATTACGTTAGCTATAGGTTTGCTTATCTGTTTTATGGCCAAAACACCTAATTTAGCGGCGGGAAAAGCGCCAATAGCCATCCTAAAAAAAGGACTTCAGTAATTTTTATGCTGTTATATGAATAAATACCAAGGATTGTACTATCTGATTTACGTAAACAGCTGACTCCTTTGAGTTTTTTATTGACATTTGTTTAACCCGCGCACGCTCAAAGATATCTTTGTTCAATTGGTAAAAACAATATTTGCATATATCAAGATTTTTAGTTGAATACTAATAAGATTTTTTACACTAACATTACTTTTAACGTTGCCAAAATTCTTCCGGCTTTGAATATATATATATAATTTTAATGTGGAACATGTTATATTGCTTACGGGTAAATTACCGAATTTGTTTTATATTCTTATTCAATAAATTTACTGATATCTGGTAAAAATCAAATTAAATGTATAAAATATCTGAATCAAAAATATATTTTTCCGTGAAATTTGTAAAGATTCGAAAATCAGTTGGAATTGAACAATATATAAAACATATAAAAGTATTACCTCGAAAACATAACTAAATTTTCATAATCCAAGATTTCTCACAGTGTGCAAGCTGTCAGTTGGAAACGACCTTACGCAGAAATTACCTGTGTTTACGAATGAGTGAGAACAATAAAAGAAAATGTTGACAAATCGTGGTACCATATTTCATTGTAAAGTTAAATAATGTGTTTAAATATTAATAAATAAAAGGCATCACTTAATAGCAAAAATGTACATCTGTATAGATTATCTAAACTTAATAAAAAATATTAAAAATATTTTCTAAAACAATTTAGTTATACCTCTATTGGCCAACACCGAATTGCAACACTGTTATTTACTCATTTCTTTCACCAGAAACGTCAACAATTTTCTTACTATTCGGTTTTGTTTTACGCTGTAGAAATTTTCGCAACCGATTTTTTACAATTAAAAGGTGGTTTTAATGCATACAATTATTCGAATATTGTAATATAAGTTCTAAAAAATCGTATTGTAATAAATTTTGTTACAAAATACTAATCTGAAATGCAGAAAAGTGCGTTTAAAGAAATGTGATACAAAGAAAGTCTTAAAGTGGTCAAGAAAAAGATGTGAAAATTTTTTGCCAGCAGTAGAAGTAGTAGTGTGGATAAAAAATACAACAACAACGATATAACCAAAGCAATTTCTAACATTGTATGGGGCTAGAAAAGTTACTACGCACCTGTCGATATAACCACCTATAACGGCTATAATCCATTGAATGGTGTTCCCGATTTTTTCCTTGAATGCGTTGCGCCTAAATCCAAATAAGCCCACCGTTCGTCCGTATGGATAATATTAAGCAAATATTATGACCTGACAGTAATAGTGTGTGTAGAAAAAAGTGATAAACACAGCGGCTACAAAATGTTTACAAAAAAGTCGCATGCGGATATAAAGAAGTCTACGGGCAAGTTTCAGGACTGCAAGAAGGATTCAGCATCTCGCTTGCGTCATTTGCGTACAATTCTAGGTATGTTGTAATCAACTGCTAATTAATATCACCCATATTACCAAATGGGTTATTGAGTCAGTTGTTATAAGACATTTTAAATTATTCAGCCGTTTATCTGCGTTACGGTGTTAGCTAATGATATTTGTGTAGGAGTGAAATACATGCTCTTATTGAACAAATATAGGCAAATGAATGAAAACCACTTTGCCGGCCTACGTGCTAGAGTATCATTAAAATCAAAAATCTGTATTGACCCAGTCGCAGCGGCAGTGGCAATGACAATCATGGTCGCTAAAGCAAATGCAACAAAGTCACAACAATCGTCAGTTTACAATCAACCTTATTAGCCATTAAATTTGTCTATTACAAGACTCCAGGTTAGCCGCATATACTTATTATATATTTTGTTTACTTACCTCTTTCTTCTCCATTGTAGAGTTAACGTTACGTTTTTAAATTTGCTTTTTCTTCCTGCTTTTTTCTTAATGTATCTGTAAACGTGTACCTATTGATCAGTCGAATTAAGTAAAGCATTAAAATCATGGCGTATTAATAATTTATGCCAATTTGTTATGTAAAAATATAGGTATGTATGTATATAAATATGTATGCCTGTAGGTTCTATGAAAGTAAATCGTTGTACAAAAAAAAACAACAAAATAGTATTAAAAAGTTTGCCAATTCTTAGTCGCGTCCACTCTTCTGCATTAGCGCGAAAAATTATACAAACTTGTATTCGTACGCTATATACATTCATTAATATGTCTATTTGGCAAATGTAAATGATAGCCATGCATATGAAATTGTGCGCCTTTTGCGACCACCGGCAATCGTGCACTAAACAGAATGGATAAGCACCCAAGTTCGGTGCGCCTTCGTGGTGGATGTGTAAGCATATGTGTGGCTGGAACGCTGCAATAGATATGTATCTATTATGTGTTTGTAAAAGCTTAGTTTTTACATTTTTCTTAATCTGCCAGCCATTCGAATTATCGGCGTCAATGGCAAACGTGGTTGTGTGCTACTCTGTTGTTCTGTGTGTCTGTTTGCTAGTTTAAGCATGCTTTTCACGCTTTCAGTATTTTTTTTACATTTTTTATATTGTTGCGTTGCGGTTCAGATGCTATAAATGCGGCTGCTACATACATAAATTCATATGTATGAACAGAGGTATATGCTTTGCGACGTTATTCCAATTCCATTTGTTTAACTGTTACTAGGCTTTATGACAGTCAGACACCTAATTTTTTTCCATTCTTGCTGTTCACCCAGAGCATTGACATGCGCCTACATTCAAGCATGTAGAACTTCATTGTATGGTATATAATATATGTTATTTGTACATACATATGTTTGTATGTGTAAACCAAGTTCTATTTACGTTGTAATTATGATTGTACAATACATAAAATTATTAAAGGTCTTGCAGTGGTATGTGAAAGGAAGTAGACCGCTTGTCTACATCTATTGCTATGTGATAAAAATCAAACACCCCACAACCTCTGTACTTATATACACACATACATAGATAGCTAACCCAACACTAGGTTACAGTGCCACAGTTGCGGAATGTTGTGAATGACTCTAGACTACGCGCCGAAAAAGAAGGTTATTGATATTAAAAAGGAATCGCTACGTTTTAAATTACTTGTCAGCGATTGCTTCATGCTCGGCTGCTCTGTGCTAAATATCACAAATTTTAATTTTTATATTTCGTTTACATTGCGTCAATAGTCTCCATACTAACTAAAATTTTAAAATAAAATTCCAGCTGGTGTTCAAATATGAATCATTACTCTTTTTGTACCCTTTGCTTTGGCATTCATCTTCATCATTTATAGCACGTTTTTTTGCTGATGACGCACCTACATCACAACTCTAATTCAATTTATCATCACATTCCTTTTAGCGGGTGAAATATTGTAAGATAAGAAGTGACTGAATGATTATCAGCTAATCTGTTCCTTTTTTCAACTGGAGTGAAGTCTTCTTCATACACACAAGCGGTCAGTTAATACATAATACAAACATACATTACGTTGAATGCTGATAAGATATACAACTTTATTTGGTCACTAAAATTAATTGGTTATTGGCTCATTTAGTTCAATCACAGATAGACATTAATTATTATTAGTAAATATATTCATATAAATATCTCGTTCTGCTCATAAATGTACATTAGGCTTTAAAATAAAATCAATTTGGTATGAAAAAAAATGCTTCCTTTAAAAAGGCTTTAAAGCGAATCGTTAGAAACATGCTGTTCCCTTTCCTCGACAGTCGGGTCTAAGTAACCTGTATTTTAATTTTTATCCAAGGACTGTCAACTCGGCACCATTCCTCGAAATTTCTTCAGGAATGTTTTCTGCCGCTAGTACAACAACAAGCCGTTGTAACGGCATAAAATATGTTGCCGAGATGCCAGGCTTTGGCCGGCAACAAAATCAAATCTGTTATGGTCAGCATCTTTTGCAAAAAAAGAAAACTGATACTGCCTAAAGTTCGTTTCACATATGTCCTTGTGCTGTATCCTTGAAGTAATTTGTAGGATGCGGCCGAGTTGAGAGTCATTGGCCGGATAAAAATCCATATTCGTTCCGGTCAAGTTGATCCGACTGGCGTGGGAGTGGACATTTAAGCTTCAGTGCTTTTGGACAAACGAAGATGCAAAAAAACTTTTTTCTCCTACTTCGTTCGAGGATGGAAGTTATTTTGTACATCCAATGTAAATTAATATAATATTATTTACTTTTCTTCTTTTGATAATACGGTTGAAGACATATTGATTGAGAAGATTCAAAAAGCTGCCGATTTGATGGTATTTGGCTGAGTTTTAATTATTTTTTTTTTGACGCGGAAATAAAATTCACTGAAATTAGTGTTTGACCTCTTTAACCTCTTTGACCTCGAAAATTTTATACTCTCGCACTTTGCAAGGATCAAAGCCCGGAAAATCAACCCATTTTTGACACGAAAACATACTTTTATCGATAGTTTCATTTATTTATTTATTTTATTATATGAACTTCAATTATATATATATAAGCAGTAGGTATATTCAGTACCTAGGGATGGAAAAACCCTATTTCTATATAGGTGATACAAACAACCTGTAGGTGAACAAAATTATTATACTCTGTAGCAACATGTTGCGAGAGTATAATTATACAATATTGTGGCGAACACGAATACCAGAACAAATCAGAATCGACGATAAACTGCCAGAAGCAACTAGACAGCGAATTCGTAGTTGCCAGAATGTTCTAGTTGCCAACTTTTGTTAAAAATTTACTATATAAGGGCTGCCGGATTGTGCAACAACACAGTTCTAATTAGAGTGTTGCCGTGTAAAAAGCAATTAGCTATATGCAATAAGTTGTAAACTCGAATATCGAGCAATAAGTGTTAAGTTGTTGGCATTAGAAATAAAGATAGGTGTATAGCCATTAAATTGGGACTTTAATTTAACAATCCAGTGATCGAACTCAAGAGTGAGTTACAGGTAGACGATTTATGAAGAAATCCGTTACAATTGGTCTCAGAAGTGGGATTGTCAAATAAATTCCCAAGGAGATAATTATTTGAAAATGGCCAAGTTTAACGATCTGAAGATTTCACAACTGAAAAAGGAGCTGGAGCAATGAGGTTTGGCGACAAATGGATTAAAAACTGAATTACAATCACGGTTGAGAGAGGCCATGGAGGCGGAAAAAATTAATGTTGAGAAATATGCCTTTCACATGGAATTAAACGAAGAAGACAAAGAAAAGACGGCTTTCAGCGTTGGAGATGGTCTATGGCAATTTACCGTAATGCCCTTTGGACTATGTAACGCTCCTGCTACGTTTGAGTGACTTATGGACCAGGTACTAAAAGGATTACACTGGAAGACCTGTTTGGTATACTTCGACGATATCATCGTGTTGGGTAAAAGCTTCGATGAACACCTTAAGAACTCGGAAGAGGTATGCCAACGAATAGCTAGCGCTGGTCTTAAGCTGAGTCCAAAGAAGTGTTCCCTTTTCAAAAAGGAAGTAAGCTACTTAGGACACAAAGTGACAACGGAGGGCATTTGCACAGCTAATGAAAAGATCGAGGCAGTTAGAGATTGGCCCGCTCCTAAAAATTTACATGAATTGCGGACTGTGTACTTATTATAGACGATTCGTTCCAAATTTTGGTAGCGTAGCTAGTAGCCTTCATGAACTCACGAAAAAGAACAGAGTTTTTGAATGGAATAAAGAACAGGAAGTTGCTTTCCAAACTCTGAAAAAACGGTTAAGTACTGCGCCAATGTTAGCATACCCGGTCCCAGGATTAACGTTTATTTTGGATACGGATGCTAGTGAATTTGCAGTAGGAGGCGTTCTATCACACGTCTTGATGGGCATGAGAAAGTGGTTGAGTATTACAGCCAGACCATAAGCAATCCAGAGAGAAATTATTGTGTTATTCGAAGGGAATTACTGGCGTTGGTGAAGTGCATAAAACATTTTCATAAGTACCTTTATGGCCAGCGATTTCGGGTGAAGACAGATCATGCAGCATTAAAATGGCTTCTACAATCCAGGAACCCTGAAGGACAGTTGGCACGGTGGATTGAGAGACTCCAAAGTTACAACTTCTCTATAGAACATCGCAAAGGTAGTAGTCATGGAAATGCTGATGCCATGTCCCGCCGTCCCTGTAATCTGGAATGCAGACATTGCTCAAAAACTGAGGCCAAAGAAGACATTATAGATGTCCGATTAATGACTATAACATCAGACTGGGATCCAGAGGAGCTACGGAAAAGTCAGCAAGAGAACCCAGATTTGAAAAGTGTAATACATGGATTGGAGATAAATAAACGTCCAACCAGAGAAGAAATAGCTGCAGAAAGCCCAGTCGCTAAGGCTTATTGGGCACAATGGAATAGTTTGAAGTGCATCGCGTATGGGAATGCAAAGATGGGCAAAGTTCACGAGTTCTGATGATTGTTCCAAAAATAAGAATTCCTGAAGTTCTCAATGAGCTGCGCAACGGTCCAAGTGGAGGACACGTGGGTATCACTAAAACCTTGGAGAAATTAAAACATATATTTTATTGGGTCGAGTGCATTGCTGCTAAAGGGCCGCGGTCCAGGAGTCATGGTCAGATGAAGCAGTACAATTCAGGTGCGCCGTTTGAGCGAGTAGCCATGGATGTAGCTAAATTAGGAAACATATATGTTTTGGTATTAATGGATTATTTCAGCACATGGCCTAACCAAGAGGCGATGGGAACAGTAGAGGATGTATTCATCAACAATTGGGTATCGAGATATGGTGTTCCAATAGAATTACATTCTGACCTAGGGAGAAATTTTGAATCAGCTCTAATACAGGAGATATGCCAGAAGCTGGGTATTCGGAAAACCCGTACAACTGCACTACATCCGCAGTCCGATGGCATGGAAACCATTTAATCGAACTTTGGAAGAACATTTGAGGTAAGTTGTGGACAAGTATCAAAAAGATTGGGATACCCATATATCCTTGTTCCTGATGGCTTATCGGTCTGCTGTACATAAAACAACGGGGCAGACTCCAGCAAAGGTAATTTTTGGTAATGATCTTCGACTACCGATTAATTTAAAATTTGGAATTAACGCAACGGAGGAAGGAATCCTAGGGAATTCAATAGCATCCTAGAAGACGAGATTTGGGAGGGACCACACCAGGTTATTAAACGACTCAATGATGTAGTGTATCGCATACAGACCATTGGAAGACCAAGGAATAAAATGAAGGTGGTTCACCTGGAACGGCTTGCAGCGTTTGGTACCGCAAATATGTCTAATCGGCACGATCAGACTTAGGTAGAGGGCAATGTGGCGAACACGAATACCAGAACAAATCAGAATCGACGATAAACTGCCAGAAGCAACTAGACAGCGAATTCGTAGTTGCCAGAATGTTCAACTTGACTACAATTCCCCGCAGTTCTCCATGCGCAGATCGCGCGGTTGCGCTATCTCTCTTGCTCCCTTACAAAGGATCTATAAATTAATCTATTAATCGTGGCGGTCCTTATAAGGATAATGGGAAACTGTTATCAAATTATTGCATTGTCATCGGTCCACACGTGTGCAAAGTTTCGAGTTGTTTAGATTTCTAGAAAGCAGTGAAAATTGAGCTCTAAATTCCATTACATACATACATACAACCCAAGCTAATAAAAGCATGTGAAAAGTAGTAGGTAATGTTTGGTTGTGCTCGAACTTAAACCTTCCTTACTCGTTTAATTTAAAGGTTCGCTGCTAAAAAAACATTACATAATCTAGGAAAAAAATAGCTAATCAGAAAATGATGAAGATTGTAAAAAGTGAGTATTTGTATTTAATAGAATTGGATTTTAGCGATGCGACTTATTAAGCAGGCTAGTTTATGTCGAGCAGATATAGAACTATACGGCAAAAATTACTTTTTCTGAGTTTTGGACCAAACTCAATTTTTTCGAGAGATTCAGTCATAAGCGGGGATGGGCACGACCACAACCAAACCATCCTCATAAAATGACGTTTACTGTGTGACAAAGCGAATCAGCGGGTCTATGCTGGACTGAATATGCAAATGAATGTATCAAAATTAATATTATTTCAGGTTGAGTCATAATTAGATTATAATTAGACAATTTGGCATTTAAAAAAGGGACTGTATGATATTTTATAGAGTAAGAATTAGTTTAATTTTATGCGTTATATTATACCTCTGTACGCACCAAGTCGTTCAGTCAACTGTTGATTGCAGACCATGGATATTGTGCTCACCAAAAGTTTCCTTCAGTAAATTGATTGCTTCTTTGCATGTATATCATGTAGCGACGTCTTGTTGGTACCAAAGGTCGCTCATATCAACATTATACAATTCAGGCACGAAATTGTCATTAATTATGACTCTATAGCGTTCCCCATTTTTGAAGAAATATGGAACAATAATTCTTTCCGCTTATAGAGCACTCCACACAATGATTTTTTGAGAATGCGACGGCGTCTCAATAATGGCTTGTGAATTATTATCACTTCAAATGCGACAATTTTAATTATTAACATATCCATTTAACCAAAAGTCAGCTTTATCGCTGAACAATATTTTGTTGTGGAAATCGGGATCAGTGGCCATCTCGTTTTGGGTCCATTCACCGAACGTTCGACACGTTTGAATGTTTTGGAAGTGGATGGGCACAGCTCCAATTGTGCGCGATGGCGGCTGGACTCATTCGGGTCTTCTTCGGTACTCACATGTTAAAGTATTGTACTATATACATAATATATATATACTCTACCACTCTTTTCCATCATTAATTAATATGTCACAAATATTTAGAAAATATAATAAAATTCTCAGAAATCATTATTTTGTTATGTTTTTCTTTACATTCCAGACAATGTTGACCAAGAAGAGGCAAAATCATTATTCGAAACGAACTATAGTCACGTATATTTTATACTCTACGATACCTTTATTCAAGCGGAGGCGAACTTAAAACAGAAAGGTACATTTTTTAAACTATATTTGAAATAATATTTTCATTAAAGTAGTTTGTAATTAATTTTATGGTTTCGGTAAAATATATTTAACTGCAAAAGCCACGATTCCGACATGGCAGTGGTTGCGTCAAGAGTTTTTCGATAATTTTTATTTATTTTTATGTGTTTAGGTTTTGAGCAACAAACACTTATTTACTTTTAAAGCGTCTAAATGTTGTGGCTAGAAGCGATTAACTTAATTTATTAATTTATTTAAGTTTGCGTTATTATCCATTACTACTTTGTACCTCGCGCATTGTCGTGCAGCTATGCAACTAAAAACATTAAACAAAAAGAAATATGCACATAAAAATTAAGAATTAAAAAAGTAAATAAAATTGTGTAAAAAACGGCAACAAGTAAAGCATACAAAATATTGTTTGCAAATGGAAAAAAAAGAAACATAAAGTGCAAAATAGTACACTAAAACAAACAACTATAAGCACACTCACACACATATACGAGTACATGTGCAGAAAAATCTTGTGAGAAACCCACCTGTATGGTTGCTCTTGAAAGCGAATACCTGCACATATAACATACATATGTTTGTGCACTTGTGCTTCTTTAGAAGTATTGTTAAATAATTGTATTTGCAGTTTTTGTGTGTATTTTGCTCTTATTTGGAACTCTATTATTCTACATAATCGAAATTTTTTCTATGTTTCTCAATTTGTTTCTCTTTCTTCTTCCAACACAAAACACCATTTATTCCGCTATGTATTCGAATTTACACATCCACTCAAATTATATGTATATATAAAAAAAATATGGCAGAACTTCCGTTTCATATTGGTAAGTTTGTGCTTAATTTTATGCAGTTTTTGCTGTGGCTTTTTACCCATTAGTCAAATTCTCATCCACAAATACTTGATTTCTACACTCATGCACATTTAAAAGAAAAAACCATGTATGTTCAGACATACACCATACCATTAAGTTAATTCAGTATCAGTTAATTTAGATGTTTAGTTGCATTTTGAAAAACGCTTTTAGTTTCTGAGCTTTCATATCATATATCTAACGTAATTAGTGTTTTTCTTTCTTAAACAATTGTCATAAAACTTTTTTAAGAAACATATTTTTCAAGAACACTTGATGTGCTTAATAATATCTTGCTTATGCCTAAACTGGTAAATAATGAGCACTCAGTCTTGTTTTGGAACCTCTACAATGGATTAGTCGTCTCCAAGTCCATTTAAAGAAAACTAAAACACTCCGACATTTAGTCCATGTTTTGTTTATGCGTCGTTTAAAGCCGACCTTGTGTCCATGACTATATTTGTGCGTTTTTTTCATAATTTGAATGTTTATTTAAAAAAAACTTTTAATACTCTTATTCAAAGTGTTGCTCATCTCAAGTGATAACATTTTCCCATCTTTCTGGCAATTTGTGGATTCCATCCCAAGAATGAATCATGCCAATTTTTGATACACGGTTCCGATTAAAACCGTTTTCCAGTGATGGCGTTCTGCATCGACCGGAACAAACGGCAGATGAGGTAAAATTTCCCAACCGCTGTTTTCAAAATAGTTTTTAACCGATCTTGCAACATAACCCCCCCCATAAGCCGAACGTTGTCATAATGGAAAATTATTGTAATAAGAAGTCGGTATATAAACACTAAACTCTCTTTTTCTTTAATTTGACTTTTACAATTATTTTGGATTACTTTGTGAATACAACAAATTAGCACTTTTTGCCATTCTATTCTTGCGAACGTCTTGGTCGTCGATAAACTGATAACCTCTCACTGTTCACTGTTCTGACAAATTTGACATCCAACATTGAGTTAACACTAAATTATTAAATTGAGGTTCCCAAAACATATCAAACCTGTCCCACATTTGGTATAAATAGTATAACCAAAGTTATAAAGTTTCTATTAAACTATTTTTTCACCAGATAAAAACTTCTTAATTCTTGAAAGAAACGTTTTCGACTCTCTGTACTCTTTTAAGCTATGACACTAACAGTAAAGGAAGACTACCTTTCTTTCTCACCCAGAATCTTGGTGGTTTCTGGAACGGGTGTGTCAAAGTACCGGTATTTTCGTACACCTCTGCATACTATAATATATAGATGCATATATCGAAAGCTTAGCAGCACTCAAAACCATGGAAACTGAAAGGTCAAGTGCAGAAACATTTTGGATAATCCGTACATCAATAGTTTTCTAAAAGATAATAAGTTTCATTATAAGAGCAATTTACTTTGGTTGAAAATCAGAATTAGGGAGTTGATCATTTAGTAGATATCGACCGAGTATAGGGCACACTTTTTGTAAAATAATCATGCCAATGGTGTCTGTTAAAACTTTGTGCACATGACTCACCTGATGACTATCTAAGTCATTTACGTAAAATCATTTAACATACACTTGGAATTTCAAATAACATCATCACTTGTATGCATTTATAACGCATGTATGTTATGCGACTACTAACTTCTCACCCATTAGATTTCTAACTGTTACATATACATACCTTCTAAGCTTTAAGCTATAAGCTTTTTATATCTAACGCTTAAAACTAACACCAGCTGATGCAGTTTTTAACAATAGTAATGTGAAGCTTGTATTAAATTCAATGGTCTGGTTTACCTTCTACATAAGATTATTCATTTCCTTGAAAAGGGAAATCATATGTAAAATCTTAAAACTTACCTATAATTATGTGCGGTAGTTAATATCCTCTGTGTTAATTTGAAACAGTAGTGGCATGTATAGAGAAACAAGAAAGGTATGCCTAAGTTCGGGCGTAACCGAACACTTTATACTCTGGGAATATTCAAAGATCAAAGGTAGGGAAATACTTTCAGGTGATGCAAAATTTTGTGTTGAAGTAAGAATTTAACATTCAATATTCGACTAAAGGGTGAAATGATTCCAATCATGTTTAGTATCTTATTAAATTGTATTGTTGTATGTTGTAGACCCACTTAGCCTCATTACAATATTTTGCTTCACATCCAAGATATTGGAACTAAAATCAACCTAGTTTACTCAAATGAGATATATGTGATATAAACTCAATCGAAGATGCTAAATTTAATCGGCAGTCATTATATTATATTAAGGATTATACCAAGGTCTAGACTAACTTTATTTATATTCCGCGCTAAAATACTAATATTTTTGATTTATAATTTTTAAGAAACCTTGTGCACTTAATTTTATTAAAATATCACACATATTGACCAATATAAACGGATTGCAGTCCGGTAGATACTCGTACTTCGAAATCACTACATCGGGTGTATATGGGCTAGGGCAAGATCTGGACTGATTCCATTAACGTTTAGCATTACACAAGTATACTCATTATATACACACATTGATCGACATATTCATCATAAAGCCTGCTAAAATAACGGAAGTCATTTTACTATGTAGTTTATGAGAGCCGATATTCGTGGACCGATGGTACGTTCACTAAATTTTCCTAAGATATCTTAAATATTGACCTATACATATCTACGGTATAAAATCAACCGGAAATGTTACATTTTGTTTAATATTTCTGACGTATTTATTAAAAAAAATTTTTTTTTAATGCATAATATTTCAAGTATTGAAATTGACGAAGTTACACATATTTTTTTACCTGTCTTATGAACGTTTTACATCAGAGTTTTTAGTGTTCAAAGCTTTAAAGCGTTTTCCCACAACTGACGATTTTAAAGTCGGTGCCCTACGTAACTTCAAAACCACTGTATCGAAATTTTTTAATATTGAACACTATATCTGTACATAATTTTCAAGGCAACGCCTAAGCGTTATTTTAAAATTTGTTAATAATTTTTATTTTTCAATAACGAATAGGCCTGTTTGTCGATTAAAATTGAGGTTGTCCATACAAAGTGTCTACAAAATTAAAAATTGGAATTTCGAAAAACCCTCTCGGCGTTACCCTGGAAAAACTATTATCTAACACAAGTGTTGTCGTACTTTTAAATATTCCTTCGTGAAAACTGTATAAAACATTTTTCGAACGTTATACTTTACTGTACCTTAGGTTTTAGTACAGATATTAATAAACACATGCATATGTGATTCCCTAAACATTGGCTAATGGCCACCTATAATTGATCACAACTGTTCATAGCAAACCATAAGATTACCCACCAATAAAGAAACTTAAATTAATGTCCCGTATGATACATACACGACAACCAAATGTCCTTTGGTCATAATCTTCCCTACTTGATTGGGCTATGTAAATTTTTTATTATTTAATCTGAGTTATACAAAGTATATATGGATTAACAGTCTGAGCCTTCAGTACCGAGATTTTAGCAATCATTTTGTGGTTCTTGTCCGTTGTCGTTCAAGGACGGCCATTATTAGGAGCCTATTGTGTCCCCACGAAATTATTCATAATAGAATACAACCTTCGGTTAATAATTAGTATCGTTAGCAAAGTTACTGGTGGCCAACTTCGATAGCTTACATTCCATCTCATTGCTATTATTTTCAAACTGCAACAAATTCCGAAACTTCCGTCGGCAATATTAGGGAAAAATTACAGAATTCTTACACATACGGCCTGGACCCCGATATACTACTACTGACGACCTTACGTCGTATGAGTATGTAAATAAAGCTATATTCAGTTATCTACCATATATTCTCCTCCAGTACTTACCTGCGTCAAATCGAAACAGCTCCGCTCTTGAGCCTACCCTCTTTCGATTACAATGTCTAACATTTAGACCTTACTACACCAAAAATAAATAAATCAAAGTGGTTTTTGCAATAGCTGGTTTATTTTGGAATTTTAGAGTTGAATTTTCCGTCGAGTTTTTCAAATATTTTGTCCACTACTTCAATCATGTTTGTCATCTTATCAAGTTGTCACTTACACACGTCTCACTTGCACAGCTATTACAGTGCTCAACATAAGTATTCGTATAGCTAGTCTAAGTATATATGTGTTGATGTTGCTTGTTATATACAATTCTCGTTTCATTGTTTGGCTTCTAAGTTATATATTTTTGCCTGCTGAGAGTAGAGCTCTGCAATTTCTATATGTCGATAATATTAACATTAACTTTGTGATTTAGTACACAAAGCTCATCGCGAAGAATTGGACGGCTCGCTATGGCTGCTCGAGAAAATATTGTGTTGGCTGCCGGAGTTACTGGCACGGCGCTGGCAATGCCACTCACTCAGTCGCATTATGGCCAAATTGTTGCATTTGGGGAATTCGCCGAAGCTGCGGCGCGAAGGGGTGCGGTATGTCAACCTTATACATACATACATACTGACATATATTCAAATTTGCATATTTTTGCCTCACGACAGCTATTTCCTCTTGTGGTATCAGACGCTGGGTGAAAATGCACCGTCCTATGTGCATTCCATGTATGCCGACCTGATACCGGGTTTGATAGTGCCGCAGAAAGGCATTGTCGGTCCGGATGTCGAGTTCAATGCGACTGATTTTCTCAATCATCCGAATATGAAAGTCGATGGCGGCACTACTTCGGTTTTCCACGATACCTTTTCGCATCCGGTGCAGAATTCCGAAATTGTAGCGTTGCTGCCGCCCTCCTCGAATGAGAAATCCGCACCGCCTGATCCACGTGATGGCTTGGAAATTCTACTAAATAGTATGTTGCAAACTGTTGCTTGTTTGCGCTGGCGCGACAATCGCTCGCAAAAGGATCACAAGGCATTTGCGTTTTTGCTGCAGCGTTTTAAGGATGTTTTTCTGTCTGTGTTCTGTCCGAATTTCGATTTTAGCATGTCCGTGTATGAACCGCGTCTGGAATTGCCCACAATGCGATCGGTGAACAAGAAGGAGGAAGTGATGTCCTCTTGTGTGGTGGTGCTGATCAATTGGATCTCGCATTTTACGCACGAGCGCACCATGAATCATCGTCTAGATAATATGCACATCAATGAAGGACATCGTCTGCGCGCCTACCAACAAAGCTTGATTGTGCGTGATGTGCTGTATGCGACGCGCGAAAATATAAATTTCGTCCACGAAGTGTATCGACAAGCGTTCTTGCTGAATTTCACAACGAAATTACAAATCGATGCGATACGCACGGCAATTGCTGTTTACCGTGACTGGATGACGGGGACCACACCACCACAATTCTTGCTCGAACCGAACGACAATGGTAGTGGCAATACATCGTTACCGAACAATAGTTCGGCTGGCAGCACACCGCGTAGTCAACGCCTGCGCACACCTTCCTACGTTGGTGCTATGAGTAAGGAGAATATAGCGGTGCGCGCTGGGCTACAAAGTGTGCTACAGATTTTCGTCACTAATGCCGCAAATGTGTTTCTGGTCAACACAAGCCATTTGAACATAAACTTTTCGACCAAATCGCGCGACTATCGCTCCACGCCTTTGCACGAGCAAACGGAGGTGTGTAAGAAAGTGCTTAATGTCTATCGCACGATGGTGATGAACACGCGCATGGAGCCGAAGACTTGGGAACAGCTGTTACTGGTCTTGCTGCAGGTGACTTCGATTGTGTTGCATCAAAACCTCTCTGGTTCAAAGAGTTCCAGTTTGGGAGGGATACTTGGTCAGGCTATCTTTCAAACGCTGATTGTTACATGGATACGCGCCCATACAAATGTGCCGGTAAATGTGCAACTTTGGGAAAAATTTCTAGCTGTGCTCGCTTCACTAACGTATCGCGACGAGCTGATCATCGAATGGGATAAGACTATACAAACGTTGACGCGTGTCTTCTCGCGTTATGTATACGCGTTGAATCTGCAAGATCTGCCGTTGGATCGGCTGGCCGAAAGCAAGGGTAAGCGCCGACGTATTGGCAGCGTATGGCAGCAATCGGGCGGCTCTGCTATAGGCGCGATGAAGGAAGGTCGTGATCGTGATAGCGCAATCGATCGCGAACGTGAATCGAACAGCAGCCGCTCAGATGAGCAATCAAATACGGGCGCTGGTGGGCTGTTACACTCTCACCAAAATTCGCTGAGCGGCGGTGGCCATGGCTTACATGCGCATGGTGGCGCTACATTGCGTTCAGGACATGTCGCTATGACGCCGCAGCTTAGTCGCAGCTATAGTGAAGGTAGTTTGGCGTCAGTTGCGCGGAATTCGCGCATGCGCAGCCGGCGTCATCGTAATATGCAAAAGAGTGCTGTACCACCGGCACTGCCGACAAACGTCGAGCACTCGCTGAGCGCGTTGCTGTCGCAACAATCGACGTCGGAGTTAACGCTTAGTACGGAAACTCTAAATGCGCGGCGTTTTGGAGGCGGCGCGTACACACATGCTACGCAACAGCACAACGATATGCGGCGCGCGATGTCACTAGATTCGGTAGCGAATTTCGGCGCGCGCCAAAGACTTCGCAAGCGTCGTCAACGTTGCTCCACACATGGCGATGACGAAGAAGATGTGCTAGATGGAGAGGACAATGAAAGTGGAGCAGATTCGCGTAGTCCATCGCCAACGGCAAGTAGCGGCATTGAAGGCAGCTCTATTAAGGATGCACAAATACAGATGGATGTGCTAGCGGTGGACAGTGGCAGCTTAGAGGAAGGTAGTTCAGGTAGTTTTCTCGGCTCCGAAAGGCGCTCTATAATACTGGGAGGTGTGGCCACTGGTTGGCTGCCGGATTCAACGGCTATTATGTGGAAACGTATGTTGGGTGCGCTCGGCGATGTAAATCGCATACCCAAGGCTGAGTTGCATGCACAAGTTTTCAAACATCTACTTGACATGACGACCAATTTAATAAAAATCAAGCAAAATCAGGGCATTTCCACGGATAACCAAAGCACACCGCCACCACCTACACTCGTGCCGCCCATCGGCATTGTGGCGCCTTGGTGCTATGGCGCACTTGAGTTAGATAAATCATTTAAAAAGGGCAAACTGTTGGCGCTACAGCTGCTTTGCTCGCTAGCTGTGCACGGCGCTGTGTCGGGCATGCAACATTTGTCACTCTTCTATCACTCGCTACATAAATTACTCACGGGTGAGGATCGCGATTTGATTTATGCAATTCTAAAACATGTTGAGGGACCACGTTTCTTGAGTCTGTTGCTGCCTGGCCACACGCTACTGTTGCTAGACGTAGTGCACGCCTCGGCGATACTACTCACCTCGCTTGAGGCGAATCGCAACACACCGCGCGCTGAGGTAGCCGCCTTGCTCGGTTCGCTACTGTGTTACCCCCCAACGCTCATACCGCGTCCAGTATTGCAACCGTCGCCACAAATATTCGAACTGATGGAATGTCCCGATCTGCAAGATCACATACTAAACATAGTGTTGCGTTGCGCGCGTCGTGAGCCATCCGCCAAAGCGCGTTGCATCGCGCTCTCGCAGCTCGGCCAGTGGATTTTGTTAAAGTTATCCCATCCGTTACACACAAGCAGCCGCTCCCGTGGTTACTTTCAGCAAGCAATTCCACATCCACCTGGCGTGCAACCGCGTGACATCCACCATAATTTGCAATTCAATCCACGCATACGCGAAGCGTTGCAAGTTCTACTCCAAGCTTTGCAATTCAAACATCGCACCATTGCGATTGTGGCGGTCGACGCTTTGAAACTCTGTGCGGAACGCGGACGTGAGCTGGCATCTATTGAGCGCTTACCACAGTTAATTATCACCGCTATATGTAAGGCACTAGAAATACAGCAAGTAGCGAATCCAAAAGACTCTGACAAGGTTGTGCTTACTTCGCTGATGCTTTGCCTTGGTGAATACTGCATGTCATTTCCGGTATCCTTGATGTTGGCGCCGCTTAACGAACGCGGTGACACACTGGTGTTGTTGGTGTTGCGTGTGCTAATGCAAATCGCTTCGGGTGCACCTAGACACGAACGCGTCAAATTGACCGCCGACGACGACTTCGATACGCACATCTCCAGCGATGATCTGCAGACGGACGGCAAGCTGCCTGAGGCGAACTACCAGACCTCGGAGACAATACAAGCGTGCATTAGCGCTATAAAGATGTGCGCCAAAGCTATAGCCATGCATTTGGTTACACATTTGGGACATTTTCCAATGGGTATTGGCGCCTCCAGACTCAGCTCGATGGTGGAGGAGCAAGATGATGTCGCGGCAAATGCCAGTTCGGGCTCACAGAGCGTTGGTGCTAGTGCGCGTCGTGATTCCGTTGAATTGCCTTCAGTGTTGCATGCGCAGAATATGCAGCTTTTCATGCTAAGTTCGGGTTTGGTGGCAAGTTTCATTGAATTGCCAGCGCTTAAGTTGCCGGGTGGTGGCGCAACGGCAGGCTTAATAACCGCTGATAGGCAAGTGCGTGTGCTGCTGCGCGATTTGAACGGAAAAGCATGTTGGGATGCATCGATACTGTATAGTGAACCGCGCAAATGCATCAAGTCCATGACAAATGAAAGTACAACTTCGGCGCATGCGGCTGGTGGTAGCGCAGCTGTGGAACGCATAGGCGATAGCATGCAACGTAGCTTCAACACAACGCCACAACATCGAAATATGTCGCAGCCGATGGATTCGTTGATATCGTCAATCATTGGCCTAGATATGTTGCCACCGCGACATACTTTACGACATCGTCCGGCGGGTGAGTTGCCACTAGCCAAAGACTTGGCACCCGATCTCGATCAACTGGATGATGTGAGTTACAAAATAGTAAATAAAATACCAAATATGATTTGTAATAATATAATTGTGCATTCCTTTTAGCTTTTGGCCTACATTGGTCACACAAGTCCTGAGTGCTTAACGAATCCTTTGGCGCCGCTAAATACGCCTGGGCCCAGTCCGCTGGGCAGCAGCTTGGAGGCACAAACCATTTCCATTATACTCAATCAGCGCTCGCTAGAACAAGAATATGTCTCAAATCTGAATCAACAAGCTTTACAAAATAACACCAACACCGCTGCGTCACTACAGCATGATCAGCATTCAATGCATTCAGTCGAACAAGCTTCACACGCTTCATTCGAATCATACAATACGACAAGTCTAACGGGACGTACGGAAATTCCCTTCCAGTATTGTCGCTTACTTTTCTCACACCTCGGCATGGCCGGCTGGGAGCGTCGTTCGCGCACACACCTGCTGCAACGCACCGAAAAGCTATTGCGCGAACTGCGCAATGTGGATCAACAACGCTGTCGCGAAACACACAAAATGGCGGTGATTTATGTGGCTTCCGGTCAAGAGGACAAGAGCAGCATATTGAACAATGCAAGCGGTAGCAGCACTTATGAAATGTTCGTCTCAGCGCTGGGTTGGGAAATCGATTTGGAGACACATAACGGCTTTCTTGGCGGTTTGCCACGTCAGGGGTGTGGTGCTACAGCGCCCTACTATGCTACACCATTTCTGGAGGTGATTTATCATGTGGCTACGCGCATGCCCTCCGATTCGCCGGAAAATTTGCTATTGAAGACGCGTCATCTGGGCAACGATGAGGTGCACATTGTGTGGAGCGAACACTATCGCGATTATCGACGCGATATATTGCCGACAGAGTTCTGTGATGTGTTGATTGTGGTGTATCCGCTGAAGAATGGTCTCTTCCGTGTGACGGTGAATCGTAAGCCAGAGGTGCCTTGGTTCGGTCCGTTGGCCAATGAGAGTATAGTAAGTGGTGCCTGCTTGGCGACGCTAATACGCGCAACAGCAATTAATGCGAGTCGCGCTAAACGCGCAGCCTTGACGCTCTTCCAGCAATAGTGAGTGTTTTGTAGACTCCATAAGCTGTTTTTATTGAATTTTTATTTTCTATATTTGTAGTTATGAGGAACGCAACCGTTCTTTGGAGAGCGTCTCATCGCGTTACAAGGAGAGCACCACTTTTGAGGACTTCGCAAATCGCATCTACAATCCAATGCCGCTACGTGATACCAGTGCAGCAGCGCCACTTGCAGCTGCTTTGATCGACCACAATCGCTCATCAATAAAGGGTGAACGTACAACTTTTTCATATCTATTTGTCTTTATTTTTACATAAATAACATTTTAACGTATCTAATTGGCCTCAACAGGGTGGGTGCAGGCTTCCATCGATTCCAATACAAAAGATATAATGCATACGGGTCTGGCGCCCTCCGCCTCGGCCACCACCACCGCTGCTATGGAGGCGGCAACGAACAGCTCATCATCGCCGCGCGGCGCACGCAAATTGGGCGCGCCCTTTAAAAGCGCGAACGTGCCAAAGAAAAACGCTTTGCAAACCAGTAGCAACACACCACCGGAGAGCCCAACATTGCCTCTGCGACGCTTCAAATAATTATATAACAATAGGCTACACTTAATAAAAAATTACTAGAGAATCCGTTGAAAGCCAGTCAACAGAATGAGCGCTGCAGATGCAAAATATTATTCATTCCTTTGTGGTTTTTAGTTGAAACTTGACAGGAATGAGTTAAGTTAACATTTTTTTTTATGTAATTAACATAACTTTTAATGTGTAAAAGGCATTTAATTTTTCAAAAATGTTTATTTTTTTTAGTCTCAAAATATTTAAAGTAGAAACACACATTTCAAAAGTATTTCCATTACAACTTAACTATGTTCTCTATCTCACTCACACTCTCTAAATATTATTAATTATATATAATATATATTTATGTTAAAAAACTATTTTTAAGTTTAACTAATTTTTTATTAACTTTTAAACTTTGTGTATTATATTATTATATTTTAAGCTTTACATAGCACGCTCTGTATTTGTATTGTAATGTTATTATGTTTTAGGCAATATTTATTAAAAATAATAATGGTATGAATGCCAAAAATCTCCGTTCCACACATTTTGCTTTAAATCAAATATACATATTTTTAATTTATTTTCAGATTTTATGTTTTATTTTATTAAATTATTTTTTTTTCTTTCTTATAATTTTTAATTTTTAATGGATTCTTTTAATTTAATGCATTCTTTACACTAATTTTACAAATTTTTTAAACTTTTTAATATTTTCTACTCTAAGCTTCTATTTCGTATCGAAAAAAATTGTATTTTTGTCTTTACTTTGCTTTATATTTTACTCTGAACATATACATTTTTTTTATTGTTATTTTCACTTTTAATCTTTTTTATTAATATCTTCCATATGTTATCATTTTCAATATTTTTGTTGTACAAATATTTTTAATTTGGTATGTTTTTACTTTTTGGTTTTTAATTTTTACTTTTTTATTATTATTTATTTTTTAATTTTTAATAATTTTTTTGTTTGCAATATTTTTTTATTTGTTACATTACTTAATTCTCTAATTTTTATTTATTTCTAATATTATTTAATATAATATATAAAAATATTTTTAATTATTATTTTTTTATTCATTTTTTATAACGTTTTATTATTTTGATTTGATTTCAGATTTTAATTTTAACTTATTTATATTTTTTTAATTTTTTTTATTTTTATTATTTATTTGAATTTGATTTGTCATTTTAGTTTGTATTTTTATGATGTAATTCTAGTTTCCTATTTTATACAACATTCAATACACGATATACAATACAAAAAACAATATACACTATATTAATAATTAAATTTAATTTATTGTCAAAATATAACATCCATTTCGCCGATATTTTCTTTTGTAATATAATTTTAATTTGAAAATTAATTTTGTTATTGCAAAAAGCGTGTCGCGAAATTATAAAATCGTCTGTACCATAAATTCTACTGGTTATAGTAGTATAATAAAATGTGCAGTAAACATTAAGTATTAGCAACAAATAATTAAAATTTATTACAATAATTTTAAGTGCGAAGAAAACATCAAAAAGTGAAACTGTTCAAAACGCTAGCATAAAAAATAAAACTATTAATGCATTAACAATCGCAAATTAGCTGTAAAAATATGAAAAATTAAACAATTTAATTAAAAAAAAGAAAATTTAAGTACATTTAAATGCAAACTTAAACACAATGAACTGCTGTAGGTCTAAAGCAAAAAACATCAATTTATTTTACGCCTAAATGACGGTATATTATATATATATATATCCATATACTATACACTTACATACTTACATATATTATTAAGCTAAAATTCGTTTAAAGCGTTATAAGCATCATACAAGTACATATTTTTGCAATTAGTAAATTAAAATATGATATCTTAATACCAGCAAATATGCAGTTACTTATGTATATAAGTGTAAACATACAAACAAAAATAATAAAATTAAAAAAAATTTTTTTTTTTAAATTAATTTAAAAAAGTAAATAAAAAAAAATTAAATAATTATTAAAATAATAAAACGAAATAAAACTTATAAACCTACGCAAATAAAATATAGTTAGGTCGCGCAGCACTTTTTTGTTATTTTGTATTTCGTGTTGTAGGTGTAGTAGTTATATTCACGAATGTGTCGTGTTGGTACTTTTTACGTACTTTTGTGCGCCTTTTTATGCACAAACAATTAACTACTAATGATTTTCAAAATATTATTAAAGAAAAATTTAGTAATATACATATTAAGAAAATGCGAAAATATTTGTATACAACTTTTAATTATTAAAATTTATTTATTAATTTAATATTTATCATTTCACTTGTATGCATTTATGTTAGAGATGTAAACAAATGCAAGATTGAAGCAAAGTTCTGCTTGCGAATTGCGCATCGCAAATTAATATAGCTCTACACACATTTACATACATACGAACATATACATATATCGAATAGTGTAATATAAAATATTTACTTAATATTAATAAACGCATATGAAGATTTGAATAAAAACACACTAATACACACAAACACATACACACTTTTTTCAAATTACAAATAAAACTTTTAACTATTTACCAATTGTTGTTGGATGCTATTATTCATATTCATACTTGTTACTATTTTCTTGATGTGCTATTTATGATTACTGTTCTTGTTGTAACAATCAGCAATCTTGCAAGTATAGTAAACATGAAGAAACGCTAGTTTCGGCTGCTCCGAAGTTATAACACAGTGGGGTCTACGTAACCGGAAAGCACCCGCATTTTTATCAATCAGTATTCCTCCAAATTATTTCGGGGATTATTTCTGCCGCTACAACATCAACTTGACTTTGATTGATCAGTTTGTAAACAGTTATTGTGTTCCGATATCGACGGTTTCGACAAAAGAGCAACTTCTTGGAAGGAGAAACATTTCAGATGGATATCTCAAAAACTGAGGGACTCGCTTTAGTATATACAGGTAGACGGAAATTACTCAGCTTATCACACTCATAATTTCTATATTAGGTCTAGTAAACAGAAATCCATTTCAATTTTGTGATTGCTTGAGTCAGTATTATTTGAACATGCGTTAAAGATGGGAAAATATTTCATATTTTATATTTTTTCTTCGATAAAAGCGCAAACGCAAGCCAAGCGGCTGAAGAAATTAATAGTGTTTATACTTCTGATACTGCATGAGTCAATCATGCACAATTTTGGTTTCGTCGATTCCGTTCCGGTAATTTTGAAAATATCGATAAAATAATTGAAATCGACAACGTCAAGCGATAACGGTAGGACCAAGTGGCGGTGGCCAAGTTAAGAATTATTGTCAGGAAGGGTTTGCTTTGCGTTTGGTGGGATTAGCAATTAATAATTTACTATGAGCTGCTCTCCTTCGAATCCGTTTTGTCAACAATTGGACAGTCTGAAGTAAGGAATCAGCCGGGAGTGTCCAGCATTGGCCATAGCAGAGGACTCGTGTTCAATCAGAGCAACGACGGACCACACACAGCGATAGTGACACACAGTGAAATAGTGGTGCAGATTTGATCTAAATCGGATAGTTCTAACTAAGCTAAATATAAATTGAAAAACAGAAAAACTCGAGCCTTTAAAAATTTAAAAAAAAACGGTTCACTTGTCGACTATTCTAAGTATTCTCTATTGCGTCGACAATATTTTGACCTAAACAAAAAATGTTATAATAATTACTTAAATAAATTAAAAAAGAATATTGTAAGTAATCCAAAATCGTTTTAAGAATTTTTCAAGTCAAACTACTGTAATAATTCTTCCAAAACTTTTTCTTATCAGCAAGTGCTGTGTTCGAATACTTTAATTAACGCTCCAATTATTTCTGAAGAAGACGTCCTACTTAATTCACATAAGTTAAAACCATCTTTTAGTTATGGCCCAGACATGATACTCTCATGCTTCCTAAAAATAGTACCAAATATACCTATATACTTGCCTTTGACAATTATATTTAATTCCTCTCTTGAACACGGTATATTTCCTTCAATATGGAAACAGTCATTTATAATTCCTTTGCATAAAAGTGGATTTAGATCCAACATTTCAAACTATAGAGGTATCGCAAAACTATCAGTTATACCTAAACTTTTTGAAGCTATCATCACTGACCTTATAACCTTTTCGATTTCTCCGTTAATTTCCTCATCTCAGCATGGATTTCGTAAAGGGAATTCGACTATAACAAACTTGCTTGAATTTGTAAACCATGTATAATTGGGTTTTAGGGAACATAAGCATACGGATGTTGTATACACAGACTTTAGCACAGCTTTCGATAAAGTAAATCTCTCGATTCTCATACATAAACTTGATCTGCTAGTCTTTCAGCCAAGATTCCTTCAATGGGTATCTTCCTATCTTTATAATAGAACACAACGAGTGATATTTGAGGATACACCTTCAGATACAATTAATGTTTCTTCAGGTGTTCCGCAAGGTAGTCATCTTGACCCGATTCTGTTCTTGTTGTTTATTAACGATATCTCTTCAGTAATAGAATTCTCAAAAATTTTATTATACGCTGACGACGTAAAGCTTTTTAAATCATACACTTCAACTGAGGAAAGGTGTCTGTTGCAAACAGACTTAAACAATTTGGTTGCATGGTGTGATAGAAATGATTTGCCATTGAATCTCAATAAATGTAAGATGATGTGCTTTTCCCGTAAATCTGTGCACCACTCTTCTTATGTAATAAAACACCATATTCTGGAGCAAGTTTTTAACTATGTTGATTTGGGAGTTAATATGGACCCTAAGCTTAATTTTAGTCTTCATATCGATACCATGGTCTTGAAAGCAAAAGCTGTCCTCAGTTTTGTTAAACGTTGGTCTAAAGAATTTAGAGATCCGTATATTACTAAAACACTCTATACAACTTTGGTTAGACCTATATTGGAATATGGCTCTGTTGTATGGAACCCTAGCTACCAAATCCATTCTGACAAGTTAGAGTCTGTTCAAAAACAATTTTTACTTTTCGCCTTAGCGCATTTCCGATGGGATTCTAGGGTAAGTCTACTTCCATACACTAGTCGTTTAAAACTTATTAATCTACCTACACTTTCTAATCGTAGGGAAATGCTTGGCATAATATTCTTAGTGAAAATTTTGAATGGAACATTTTGCAGTTATTTTCTCCTGTCTGAAATTAAACTTAATATCCCGGTTCGCTTTTCGAGGCAGTTTAGACCTTTACTGCTAAAATCCTGTAGATCAAATTTGAACTAAACGCGCCATTCCGCCGTATATGTCATGATTTTAATTCTCATTCCAGCACATTTGACTTACCTGACTCACTTTTCAAAATTAAAAAGACTTTATTGTTTTTTTTAATAAATGAAAATATAACAATTTATTATATTGTAACTATAAATCTTAGCTGTTGAAATTTTTGTTTCTGTAGCTGAGCAGTTTTAGATCTCAACACTTAAAAAAGGAGCGTAATCGTTGGGTTATTATTATAAAATAAAATCTTCAATTTAATGCGAAGATAACATATTTCATTTTGCTAGACCTTATATATAACATACTTTATAAGTTCTCGTTTAACTTACCCTGTTCAGGGCATAATTATTGTATGCCAACATACTCGTATAGACAAAAAAGTATATCTTATGTTTATGCTGAGCTCGGCAGAAGACGTTTATATTATATAAAGACCGTTTCTACTATAGAGGCAGCATTATGTTAGGTACTAGGCATCGAAGGATGACTTTCCTGAGGGGATTCCGCTATAGTTTGGTACCTTTCGTGAATACTAACTGATATAACTTTAGGCCGAAGCTCTAAAGTACCACAAAAAAGTGATTAACCCCTCAATTATCATACAGCAATAATAACGAGAGGCTCTCAATGTCTATATAGGTACATACGATTACTGAGATATTGTAATACAATTTTAACAACTACAACTTTGATATGGCCATCTTTAAATGGATTACAAACCGGTACTATGGTATATGGTATATCGTAATCGTCTGTTCAATATTAATGTATTGTAATGTAAAAGGTTAACTAAAACCACTTTTCACTACACCACGGCCTTAGTGTGCTTAATAAATATATTATTATTCGGAAGCACTTTACTAGAATTCTTTGCCCCTAACAAATTAATTTCGTATACTCAAACTTATTGTTGCCCCAAAAAAAGAAGCTTATCTAATTGTTGATATCTGGTGAAGTAGCCAATTTCACGCGTTCAAATATTTAAGGAGTGTTTACAACTATTTTGACCAACATATTTATTTACATGAGTGTGTCTTTTCGTCAACGCACCATCAAATAAGAAAGCGTTGCTGAATAAATGCTCCGAGCGGATGTCCTTGCGTGCCAAACTAATTTGGTTAGTCGGTCATTTATGATTTAAAATTGAACACCTGGGAGTTGTGGTCAAATGAGTCGGAGCGAACACATAGTAAACCAACTCAGAAATATCTCTCGCAGGTGTCATTTGTAAAGCAGTACAGCCTTGAGCGGGAGCAAACAGGACACTAGTGCCGGGGAGGTTGGCGAATAGTTCGTACAAGCAGTAGCGCCTAAAACTAAAGTCGGTTGTGTGTGTGTGTGAGGGCGATTGTGTGCTAGGCGTGCTGCCAGCGCTCGTCGTGCTTGTGTGAGCAAGGGGTCATTGTCATCGTGGCGTCGCGTTGTTAAGCGCCTGCAACTAGACACCGAAATGCTAGAGTATACTTTCTTGCTTTTATCGGCTGCCTGAATGAGTAGTTTGTGTATGGTTTGTAAAAGTATTGGATATACTTTTTATAGTCAACTGCCTCGCTACATTTTCCTATTTATTGTCTTCATTTCAGCGTTGCTCATTGTTGTTGGGAGCATTGCGCTGCGCTTTTAGGGTCGTTTTTGTTTATTTATTTATTTTTTAAAATTCCTTTTACTATGCATTTCCGCTTGCAGCTGACGTTATTATCTGAGCCACATTTGCTGTTGGAAATGACTTCAATGGTCCTAACTGTAATTTAATAGACCACCACACGCGGAGTAGAAAGAGTTTTTTTTTTTACTTTGGCGCATTCATGTTTTTGACAGAGGAAATGCAGATGACGCGCTTTTGTGTTGGCGAGTATAATCATTATAATACACTATAGTAATGCATATATTTTAATATATCTAGAAGTAGATGAAATTTTAATATTAGCATGATAAAGACCCCAAAAAATTTGACCTTATTAGGGTAAAGAATTCTCCGTTCACAAGCGATTAAGCTAAAAAGTCGACAGACTTGACATTGTTGGTTCGAAAATTTACGATCGAACAACTCTTTTGTATAAATTCCGTTATTTCTTTGGCTAACTTTTTAAGTCTGAATAATTGACTTTCACTGAACTCAAAACAGCTACCAACAGAAAATTCTACATCGATCGTATTATTCACCTAAGTCTGTGGCAAAGTCTGTAATGTCTTAACTGAAACCACATCGCAAAGTGTTACATGTGCCAAGATAAATCTACTGAGATGAGCGATATTGACAACTGCTTATTTAAAAAA